AAATGGGACGCTTCCCGGGGCGGGCGGGCGGAGCCGCTGTGGCCAGTGGCTGAGCCGCAGGGCATCTGGGTTTCAGGACCCGAGCTCACACCTCTAGGAAGAGTGTGGTCGGCGATTCTGGAAGTGGTAGTCGTGCTCCAGGCTGGGCCTTCCTCCGTGAGCCCGTCCTTGGCCCCATCCTCATGTGTGTGAGCACGATCCCAGCCTCCTGTCCCCAGCGTCTCCCTGCCCCAGTGCCCTGTGGCCACAAGGCAGAGCCGGGACCTCAGACTCCGCAGCCCCGTAAAGGCGAGGCCCCTTTGAAGGGGCATGGCTATCTGACCCCGGACCTGCGTGCTCAGTCCATGAGAGTAGACGTTGGGGCCTGGTGGTGGGGGTCCAGCCTGTGCTGGGATGGTGGCCAAGCTGCCCTTGGAGTGCAGCTCCCTGCCCCTCCCTGTCTTCTTCCTCTGGCCTGTCCCCCAGGGAGCCCCCAGCCCTGTGCCCAGGGGCCAGCGGAGGCCCTCACTCCCCAGATAGCCTTCAGCGTCCAGGGCAAGCAGGGCTGGCACAGGCCGAGTGTGGCAGGCCGGATGAGCGGAGGCAGGTGTGTGTGTGTGTGGGGGGGGTGCACAGGCTCCCTTTCCCCTCCAGATCAGCCCAGCCAGGTGCCTGGAGCTTGTGTCCAAGACGGCAGATGGCCAGGCTCATGGGAGTCGGTGCCTGGGCTGCCGCGCTGCACGCCCTCACGTCAGCCACCGCGGGTAGGGACAGTCCCCTCAGCCACAGCGTGGAGGGAAAGCGGGGTTGTTCTGGGCAGAGTGTGGAGAAGGGCCAGAGTCCTACCCTTCCCCACCCCACCCCTGCCTACATCGGCCGACTTCGCCAGACCCCCTGACCTCCCTTCTGGTCCTGCTCCTTCCTCCAGGACATGTTTGCCGTGGCTGTGTCCCTGAGTACTGGGAAGGTCCTGTACATCTCTGACCAGGTGGCGTCCATATTCCACTGTAAGAGAGACGCCTTCAGCGATGCCAAGTTCGTGGAGTTCCTGGCCCCCCACGACGTCAGCGTGTTCCACAGCTCCACCACGCCCTACAGGCTCCCGTCCTGGAGCATCTGCGGCCGAGTCGGTGAGAGCCTCGCCTCATCCTCCTCCTGGGGCGGGAGACTGCAGACAGCACGGGCCAGAGCCCTCCTGGAGGGAAAAGGCAAAGAGTCGTTCATCTCTGCAGAACACACTTAGAGGAGAAAACTAAGTCTTCTTGCAGATTTCAGAGAGGGACGTTCTCAATTAAGTGGTTCTGGGAAGTTAGGCCTTGCCCCACTGGTGTAGTGTGGGGCTGGGGCACAGCCTGGTGGTGGTGCCCGGCAGGCAGTGTCCCCTACCACAGGGCAGCTGTACTGCAGCCTTCTGGGCACTGCAGGCTCTGGCCTGGCTACGCAGTGGACAGCAGCGTCCTGGGCAGTCTGGCCTGCGACTGTGTCCCTTTCTGACCTGGCTCATGTCCAAGTAGTAGCCCCGCCCGGCTCCCCTGCTCCCAGCAGCCTCTCCTGTCCCTGCGGCAACTCTGGGCATGGCTGCCTCTGGCCCTGCCCTCCTCGTCCTCCTTAGGGCCCTCTCAGACAAGTGGGGCTGCTCTTTCAGAGCTCAGGCAGCCCCGTCTGCATCCCGCCTTCCCCAAAGCACCAGGAGTCCCAGCCTGCTCCCCGAATGTCCTGGCCACAGGACTTCGGCACATAACCTCGTTCTTACCCTACTTCCCCTCCCTGATGGGGCAGACTCGGAGTCTGGAAGGGCCTCGCTGCACTCACCATAACCACCGTGAACACACACACAGGCCTTGCGTGTGAAGAGGAGCATGAGACCTGGCAGGAGGCCCTGGAACGTGCTCCACTCCTGCACGTGCTCCATGACCGAGGCAGCTGGCAGCAGCCCCTCTAGAAGCATCTGTCCTGCAGCATCTGCCTCACCTGGCGGGTACTGAGCCCCTGCTGGGCTCTGAGGGCTCAGAGCTGACCTGGAGCCACAGAGCCACAGTGCCTGGGGAGCCCGTGGGAACGGAAGAGGAACAGGCAGGGCCAGACGAGGACCTGATGACCTTGTGAGACGATGGCCTCCCATAGGATCTTGTGTCCTTTTTAAAACAAAGTCTTGCTGTCCGCCTGCCTCAGCCTCCCAGGTAGCTCGGACTGCAGGTGCACATCCCCACGCGCAGCTCAGCTGAGCCCGGACTTGAACACAGACCTTCACGTGGCCTCAGCCTGCCCAGCAGCAGCCTCAGCACATGCCACCACAGCTGGGCTTGCGCAGAATCTGGACCCGGCGCCAGCCCTGGCCAGCTCACCCCACAGCATTCTGTCCTTTGCCGGTAGGGCAGTGATCTCTGCTCGCCCCAGAGGTTCCTCACCTCGCCCTCAGCGTCCTGATCTACAGGTTCTCGCTGGCTCGGCGCCTCCGCCTGCTCCGCCTGCTCCCACTCCTTCGGTCTGTGGGCCCTGGGCTATGGGCCAGGGAAGGACACTGCTGTCACGTCACCCTGACCACAGGCGGCCTGGGGCACGCACACGGACAGGAGGTGCTGGCTTTGCACCGCGTGCACAGTGCTGGCCACGTTCTCCCAGAGTCCAACCCGGGGACTGGTGGCGAGACTATTGACATTTGTGCTGTGAGTTACAAGGTCCAGGCCAGGCAGGGGCCCTGCTGAGCAGAGAGGAAGTCGCCGCTCGTGGTTTGCAGCACGAGCACCCATGCTGTCACCCTGGGTGGGCGACAGACATGTTTCCCCTGGGTGAAGAAGATCAGGGGCCAGCTAGGGGCATGGTACTCAAGGCGGCTGGGTTCCCCTGGCCGCTCAAGCCCACGAAAACCACGCTGGGCGTGTGTGCACCCAGCATCCCAAAGGAGGAATGGAGGAAATGAAGTGGCCGTCCCCTAGCAGGTGCTCTCCCACTTCCCTCCTCTCTCTGTCTCTCTGGCGAGCACACGCGTCCTGTAGCAAATTAACAACAGGAAAAGGCCAGGGGAGCTGTCAGAGGCCTTTCTAGGCCAGCAATTGTACAGAACTTTCCAGAACTAGGAATTGTCTACTTTTCCTCTTTTCTTTTGAATAGAAGAAACTTTATATGAAAGATCAAAATCTGAGATTTCCTTTTTTTTTTTTTTTTTTTTTGAGAGGTTTTTCGCCACAGGGTGCGTGTGCTCGCCAGACAGAGAGAGACAGAGAGACAAAAAGCGAGAAATCACCCCCAGGGGGGATGGTCACACCGCAATCCCTTCTCCTCCATTCTCCTCTCGGGATCTTGGGCATGCACGCACACGTGCCCGGCATGAGTTTTAAGCTACCCGGTCTGGGACGCGAACTGTGGTCGACTACATGGGAGTCCAGCGACATAGCCATTATGCTAACTGCTGGTTCCCAGATTTCCTTTCTTTAAAAAATGTTTTTCTTCCATGGGGGAGAGACAGAGACAGCACCCCCAGCGGAGTCCCCACGCCCAGCCTCAGGTAGCCCCCCACCGTGTTGGGGGATCTCTGAGCTCCAGCCAGGGCCTTCCCTTGTCAGCCCTGCGGCAGGTCGTGTCCCACTGTGCCCCTCCCAGCCTTGCCTGAACTCTTTTTAAAACCCTTTGAACTGTTATGGAAACAGCCACTTCCTCACGGCTGATGCGTTCCCAGCTGAGCGCGCTCTTACTACTTACATTTTTAAGTAAGTTAATGTTCACCACAATACTGATGCCAGCTTTAAAATGCTGAGAGTGTTTTGGGAGAGCCGAGTGCCCAGAGAGCAGGTGGCCTGAAGCGTTCAGGGCTTTCTGCGTACGGCCACTGGGTCTTCCCGAGGGAAGTCGGTGATCTCTCGTATCTGCGCCCTTTGGAAATGCACGCTCCTGGCCGTGGAGCTTTAGAACTGTGTAGGAATGCGCGCGAGACGCTCAGATACATGAATGTCAGCCGGAAGGGGAAGGGTGTCCAGTCTGCAGGACTCCCTGGGCGCTTGGGTGAATCTGCAGTCCCGCTCAGGCTTCTCCCGTCCGCTTTGAGGAGCAGCACAGTCGGCTTGCTGTTCTGTGGGATGAACGACTGTGGGCTTTCTCTTACAGACTCTTTTACTCAAGAATGCACGGAGGAGAAGTCTTTCTTTTGCCGCGTCAGGTAAGTCTAGTGCCCAGAAGTCCTAAATCAGAAAACGGTACAAACATCTGCCCTGGGCCCGCGTCACACATTGTCCAAGCCCTGCCTGCTCCATCTCCAGGTGTCGAGGCTCTCCCTGTGGCTCCCCAAAGGCCTACGTCCGGACGAGTTTTAGTTAGTTACTAGTGCACAGGGCACGAGGGAGCATGGCTGCCCATGGACGGATGCGGTCTGCCCCTCGCAGCAGGCCTGGGCCAGAGAGAGCTGCACTGGGCTTCCTCCTGCCACGGGAGGGCAGCCCCAGAGGCTGAGGGAGCCCCACAAGCACACGCAGCTTCCGTCTTGCATGTGCATTGCCTGGGGAGGATGCCGCGTGTTTCCCAGCAGGCTCTTGGCCCAAAGCAGGGGGACCGAGTGAGGGTCGCACCGTGGTGCTGGAATGACCCCAGTGCCCTCTGGAGTCATAGGGTCCCTCTGCCCCAGAGGGGGTGCAGAAGACTCCCTGCTGGCAGTGTACCAACTCTCAGAGTTGCCCTTCAGTGCAGAGGGGTCCAAGGGAGAGGACAGAACGGGGTGGCTGGCCCAGCTCCTCAGGGCAGGTGGGGTGCCTGCGCGCCCCCCCACCCTGCACAATGTTGGTGATGCAGCCTGGCTCACCAGGACGTCTGGTACTGCAGCTAGCTGGGGGAGGGGCCTAGCCAGCCATTACGACCATGCCGATGCCCCAGTTCCGGACCTCGGTGTCACCCCTCTCCGCAGTGTGGGGAAGAGCCACGAGAACGAGGTTCGCTACCACCCCTTCCGCATGACGCCCTACCTGGTCAAGGTCCGGGACCGGCCTGCTGCCGAGAGCCAGCTCTGCTGCCTCCTGCTGGCGGAGAGGGTGCACTCCGGCTATGAAGGTAAGACCAGTCGAGGGAGAGACGGCGTTGTCCTGTGGTTCAAACAGTGTCTGTGATATGGGCTCCCAGTGACAGTGCTCAGCTGTGGCCTGGCCCCTCCCGCTATCCTCGTCTTCCCATGGTGGCTCCAGGCATCTGAGCGGGCACCTCCTGTCTGAGTCCAGTCCATGGCCACGTCCCCTTCTCCCCTATCCCTGGCCACTGTGCCTCTTGTCCACAGAGCGGGGACAGCATCTGGGGCCACACACCCATCTTGTCCTTGCCATGATGCGTCGGCCCCGTGTCGCTGCCAAAGGGCGGGGGCGTGCTGCCTGCATGAGAACCCCAGACGGCCCCTCACCTCAGGCAGCAGTGCTGGGCCTCCCCCGCCCACGGCCCAGTCTGGCTCCCACCTGGATTCCCTCCCTCCTTCACTCCCACTGACCTCGTGGACCAGTCCGCTTGGAGAGCCCGAGTGCTGCCCTTGCTCCAGCTGTCCCTCTGCCACGCTGGCTGTGCGCCTGTCCCACCGGCGGCCCGGCTGCCCCTGCCCCCGCCCCGGTATACACCTTCCCTTGAAGCCGAAGAACCCAGGCTGTACATGTCCTCCTGTAGGCCCTCTTAAGATGTTGCTGTGTGGCACCATGGTCTTTGTGCTGGCCACAGCACCTGGCCTGGGACTGTGGCGCTCACGGTGGCACCTCAGCAGTCATGCAATTTCGAAATGTCTGGGGGCTGGTACCGCCTGTCAGGTGACCACGGGAGCCAGCTTCGTCCTGCTCCATGTCTCCCCTGTCTGCTCTATGTGGGTGATGATGTCTTTACAAAATAGCTCTTCTGGTTTCTGAAATCACCAGAGGGGTGTGCACTCGGCAGAGAGAGAAACAGAGAGGGAGGATTGGGGGAAGCACCTCCGGTGGGTGTGGCCCGCATCCTTCCCGCCATCGCTCTGCCCTGTCGGAATTCGGGCACTCCAGGGCCTGTGCACACACCCAGTGTGTTTTCAGCCTGCTGGGGCTGGGCTCCAGACTGCAGTGGGCCACGTCAACTCAGCTCCCTTAACACTGGGCCACTGGGCCACAGGGCCGACCCATAAAACAGCTCTTCTTTCTCTGCTTTTTAAGAGAGATTTTTGCTGTTCAGCACATGCACTCTCCAGGGAGACAGAGAGAGACAGAGAGACAGAAGACAAGCAATCACCCCCCAGGGGATTACCTTCTCCTCCATTCTCCTCTCAGGCTTTTGGGCATGCACACACATACCCAGCATGGGTTTGACGTCACTGGGTCTGTGACTACATGGGAGTCCAGTGATACAAGCATTACACCATCCGTCGGTCCCAAAACAGTGTTTCCCAGTGGTAGGAATGTTGTTGCAAGGGTGTAGCTTAGTGCAAGTTTGATGTGTCCCATATATAGAAGATGGCCTTTTCCGGTAGTCAATGAGGGCTTAAGGTGCTTTAGATTTTTTTTAAATTTTTTATTTATTCTTTCATTTATTTTAATGTGACCAGAGAGAGACACACAGAGAGGGAGGTGGGGAATGAGAAAGCAAGCCACCAGTTCTGGAACTCAAACCACGGTCAGCCACGTGGAAGTGTCCAGCGCCTTAACCAGCACGCCACCTGCTGGTCTCCAGGGTATTTATTTCAACAAGTTGTGAGTGTCTTCCAAGAAGGAAACATTTCAGAATGCGAAGGATCGTGAGTTTACTGGTTGAGGAGAACCTATGAGAACAGACCCTCTATGCCATTTACTCAGCCACCTCTGCCTACCTTAGAGCTCAAGTTCTCCAACACGGTGACATTTCCATCTGAGTGGGTGACTCATTCACCTGAAAGTAATTGGTTACCTCTCAAAGATCATGAGGTTGCCAAAGAAGCCTCTGGGTGGTCCCCGAGCTGCTTTTCCTTGTCTGCTGGACCCCAATGGCCCACAGGGGGTGAGGCGGCCACCAGTGGGCAACACGGCAGCACTGTGGTTCAAATCCATGTTCGCTTTCATCCCGAGCAATCCGTTACTCCGAATAATAGGCGCCTTCTAGTGGAGGCACGTAACTATATTAATGCCTATGTCTCAGAATCAGAAGTCTGCACGATTCTGTTCTTTCAGCTCCTCGAATTCCTCCTGAAAAGCGAATTTTTACGACAACACATACACCGAATTGTTTGTTCCAGGACGTGGACGAGAGGTAAGTAGCATCGTGCCATCCCCTCTGCCCACTGCCCCTGCTGGTGCTGCGTCTTCGTGTCCCCAGGTCACGCTCCAGGGACTCTCATGTTTTGGCACTGGAGTTATTTCGCTAAAGTGAGGCTCCATATTGGTTTTACGTGTGTGACGATCAACAAAACATTCAGTTATATAAGGGTGATGAAATCGGTACGAGTTCACAGGAAGCTGCGCGTGTAAGGCGTGCGGGCCACGGCAGGCCCTTCCGCAGAGCCGGTAGCTGTTCCAGCCGAGCTGCGTCTTCATTGCCCTGCGAGACTCACTCGGAGTAAGCAATGCTACAGGCAGGAAGGTGTGCTGGCCGCTGGCAGGATCAGAGCCAGGTCTGGCAGGACCCTGTTTTCCAGAGAAGCTTTAGACTCGAAGGGAGAACATCCCTCACGTGAGGAATCTGGACGCGAGGAGGAGGAGCTGGCGGAGGGCGCTGCAGAGCTCAGCACTGCCTGCGACAGAGGCAGCTGCGCTTCTAGGGAGCAAAGGAGCAGCTCCTAGGAAAGCCCCATGGGCACACGCTGGTCCCGGCCAGGCATAGGGTCCTGGAAGAGCCACAGTGAACCGGGCTAGACAGCGGCCAGCGCAATGCGAAGGGAGCCGGCCTGGGCTAGAAAAGACCACAAGATGGACAGAGAGGGCTGCAGGCCTTGGGCGAGACCCACTGAACGGAAGTCCAGGTCTGGCCACACCTGGTCCGCCAAGGGATGGCGTGAAGAAAGGAAACACTGCAGACGGAGAAAAGCGGCATTGGCATGGTCTGTCCTTTTAGGACATAAGAGGCAAAGCTGGGGCACTTGGGCCATGAGGAACGGAGCTGGCTCTGGGTCACGGGCCCTGGGCCAGGGACCGCCACCTGCTGATGCCTTGAGAGACTAGCCGCTGCTCTGTCAGCCCACCCTCCATTCCGACGTGGAGAATTTGAGTCTCCTCTTCCCAAGGAGTTAGGTGGCTCCAGGCTGCTCCCCAGGGTGGAAGTTGCCCCTGGGGTCTCCCCACTGACCCCTGTCTGCTTCTTCCCAGGGCCGTCCCCCTCCTGGGCTTCCTCCCTCAGGACCTGATCCAGACGCCTGTGCTCATGCAGCTTCACCCCAGCGACAGGCCCCTGATGCTCGCCATCCACAAAAAGAGTAGGTCCCTTGCTCACCACCTAGGGGCTCCTGGGCTTCCTCCTGAGAACTGTGTGAGCCCCGAAGGGTCAGGTCAGCTAAGCACAAGCCATGGTGCCCTGACCCCTGCCTGAGTCTCATGGTGCCCGCTTCCTGCCTGAGCCCCATGGTGCCCCATCCCTGCCTGAGCTTCATGGTGCCCAGCCCCTGCCCGAGCCCTGTGGTGCCTGCTCTCTGCCTGAGCCCTGTAGTACCTGCTCTCTGCCCAAGCCCCATGGTGCCCCAACCCCTGCCCGCGCCTCATGGTGCCCGACCCCTGCCCAAGCCCTGTGGTGCCCGCTCTCTGCCTGAACCCCGTGGTGCCCCAACGCCTGCCTGAGCCCCATGGTGTCCGCTCTCTACCCAAGCCCCGTGGTGCCCCGACCTCTGCCCGAGCTTCGTGGTGCCCGCCCCCTGCCTGAGCCCTGTGGTGCCCCATCCCTGCCGGAGCCCGTGGTGCCCACTCCCTGCCCGAGCCCCGTGGCACCTGCTCCCTGCCTGAGCCCCGTGGTGCCCGCTCTGTGCACCTACTCTGGGTGGGACTGAGAGCGGCACACTCAGGTGGGCTCCTTTGTAGCCAGCTGTCCCGTGGCTCGTGCCCTGAGTGGGCGGCATTTCGTTTCTACTGCTGGCTCTGTGGCAGATGGGGGAGAGGGAGACCATTTCAGCTGTGGCTAGGAAGGCCCTAAGCAGGCCAGGGAGTAGGCAGCGTGTGTCCCAGCCAAGCCCAGCCCCCGCAGAAACAGACAGGAGATGAAGCCACCCCTGTTGGGCACAGCCACCTGTTGCAATTGAAAGGAAAATTGGGGGCTGGGAGGAGGGGCCTTGAAACCAGAGGCTTTGGAGAGAGCTTGGTGTCCCAGCCCTGCCCCGCTGCCCCGCTGAGAACCAGCTGCTCCTCTCTGCGCCCTGACCACCGCTGTCGCTCCCTAGTCCTGCAGTCAGGCGGGCAGCCCTTCGACTATTCCCCCCTTCGCTTCCGTGCCCGGAACGGGGAGTACATCACGCTGGACACCAGCTGGTCCAGCTTCGTCAACCCGTGGAGCAGGAAGATCTCCTTCATCATCGGGAGGCACAGAGTCAGGGTGTGAGTGCTCCCAGGGCCTGACTGGGCTCACCCCCTGGCAGCAAGGCCGAGAGCCCTGGGCCCCGCTCGCTCCTGCCACAGGCCTGGCTTACGGGAGCCCCAGGCGGGTGGGCAGGTGGGCGGGTGGAGGTGGCCCACCCCAGGCAGAGTGGGGGCTGTAGTGACGGGGAGAAGGGCCCAGTGGGTGTGCAGCCTGGAGGACGCAGGCCCAGGAGAGTCCCTGGTGGTGGCTGTCTAACAAGAGCATCACCCTCCCAGGGGGCCTTTGAATGAGGACGTGTTTGCAGCCCACCCGTGCGTGGAGGAGAAGGCCCCGCCCCCAAGCATGCAGGAGCTCACAGAGCAGATCCACCGGCTGCTACTGCAGGTGGGCACTGGCCTGCACCCGCCCTGGCTGGGGGCCCACCCGCCAGAGCACATCAGCTCTGCTCTGCCTGGTCCTCAGAAGCTGCCCTCCGGACGTCCCCACAGGGCTGGCGGAGGTGGCATCTATGCTGCCCAGGGCAGTTGGAGTGCCCTCGGCTTCCCCAGGCTCGTGCCAGGCGCTGTGTCTGAACCACAGCCCCGAGCAAGTGCTGACAGCCTGCGCCGTTCCTGCATGACTCCCACAGCATAGGGGTCACTCCAATACAGGGGGACTAAGGGACCTTGTGCTCAAGACTCCTGGGTGTGACCTGGGTCCGCCCCATTGCTGGTGGCCTCTGGTGCCGGCCATGGTGGGAGCTGTGCTGGCCTCAGCCTGTGATGAGCAGCTTGAAGTGTCCCCTCCAGGTGGCGTTTCCTTATCTGGGGATGACATGGTGGCTGCATGTCTGGGGATGGGTACTAAGGGTGGAGGCCAGGAGTCTACCCCTGGAACTGACCCCACGCTCCAGCCCCAGCCCTCTGTCCTCGCCATGGGACCTCAGGCAGGCCACTGTCCTCTGCAGAGCGGGGTGTGTTGGGAGGCCTGGCGAGCCTGTGGAGCTGGGCCGGCCGGGCCTGAGCGCTGCCTGCTGTCTCCCTAGCCCGTCCCCCACAGCGGCTCTAGCGGTTATGGGAGCCTGGGCAGCAATGGCTCCCACGAACACCTCCTGAGTCAGACCTCCTCCAGCGACAGCAACGGCCATGAGGACGCCCGCCGCAGGAGATCCGTACGTCCCTGTCTCCCTGGGAACCGGGCAGCACATGCGGGAAGGGCGAACAGCACAGGGTGGAACCAGTGTGCTGGGCACTGCGGCCCTGGCCCCTCGGGAGGCTGAGGCAGGAAGACCGTGACACAGCGAGACCCCATCTAAAACGCCGCACCCGTGCACGCAGGCACACACACACACACACACACACACACACACACACACACACACACACACACACACACACACACACACACACACACACACACACACACACACACACAGCACATTAAAATAGCCCGTGGCAGTTACCAGAGCCTTGATCATCCCGGCTATTTCTGCTACTCTAAACTGTTCGCTTCAGGCTTCCCTCGCCTCTTGGGAGCTGAAGCACCTAAAAGCCAGAGTGCGAGGCCTGGGCGGCATCACTCGCTGCAGGCGCGGGCCAAGCAGCACTGAGGCCGCACACGGGAGGGGCACGGCAAGCCCGGGGTGCTGCTCGGCTCTGCGTCCGTCGGGGTCCTCTGGCGCGTCTCCTCTGGTGCTGCCTCTCAGGCTCTCGTTCCGGGTGTGCAGCCGGGTTGCTGGGGCTGTTTCAGCTGTTCTCAGCTCTCTGTTCTCCCCTGGGGACAGAGGGACGGGGGTTCATAGAATGAACAATGTATTTGTTTTGTTATTCTTCAAGGAAATTTGTAAAAATGGGAACAAGACCAAAACCAAAAATTACTCTCACGTGCCTGTAGGACAGAAGAAAAGCGGTGCTGCAGGTAAGAATGCAGGTTCTACGGTTTCCCGTGAAGCCTCAGTGCGGCCACGTGGAGGGGCCCGAGCTCGGTTACCGTTCAATGCTGCCTTGTGCTGGGCGTCTGGGGCCCTGAGGGTACAGGGATGGGCTGGGCCTTCACCTGCGCAGCAAACGCGGCCAGTAACACCCACGCTGGGCCTGCCGCCCCGCCCGTGGAAGTGCAGCTGGGCCGTGTCCGGCTTGCCCTGGGCCCCCAGGTGCTGCGTGCCAGGCGTGCCCGGGAGCCTTGGCCTGGGTCACTTCTCCTGGCAGTACAGCATGGCTGTGTGGCTGTGCTCACACTCAACGTAGCACGTGAGCACATACACAGTCGCCAGAGCCCCTGCTGCCCTGCACACTCAGAACCAGACCCGCCGGGTCAGGAAGCGTGGGCTTGGCCCTAGGTCACCCTCTCCCCAGCCTCCAGCCCAGGCCGCCAGCCCACCGCTGCGGAGACCCAGCCCTTCCTCAGGTGCCAGCATGTCACAGGGAGCTTCCCGCCTTCCCACCAGGCACACTGTCCCCCCGCACAGTGCGCACTTCTCACGTGGCAGGCACACATACGTGCACATGCGTGTGTGTAGGCCTGGCCTCTCGTAGGAAGCCCCTGTGGGGAACGTCGTGGCCACCCAGCTGGCTTCCTGGCCAGGCAGTGTCAAGACTTGGGGCCTTTGGGCTGTGCTGGTGGGTGCGCTGGGGACACTAACTGAAGAGCAGACAGCCCCTCCCTTGAGGGCCCTGAGGGGGACAGTACCTGGCGAGGACACTCACTCACACCCACAGCACAGGGACCGCCACACAGGCCGGTTCTTGCCGAGGGCCACGTTCCCAGCCCTGACCCTGCCCAGGAACACGAAGCACCTGACCTCCTCAGCCTCAGAAGCCCAGGGGCTGAGATGGACAGCCCTCTCCCTGCCCAGTCCTCAACTCCCAAGTCAGCCTGCCCGCCTGCTGCCACCAAGCCACACAGCCATCCCTGCCCCTCTGCCGTGGCACCGACAGGGATGCTGGTGGTCAGGCTGTCAGCTGTGCCCTGACCTGGGAGCAGGTTCTAAGCCTAGCCCTCTCTTTAGGTAAAGTAGAAATACCTCGGGAATGGAGGGTGTGCTCGTGGGGGGGCATTAAGGACGATGCTGTCATCCTTTCAGAAATGCAAAGCCGTTCCTTGATGGAAGCTGTCCCTGCAGCGGAGAAGGACAGCTCGGGGGCCAGCATCCCTGAGGCTGGCTTCCCCGAGGAGCTGGCCTGCAAGGGCCAGCCTGCCTGCTCCTACCAGCAGGTCAGCTGCCTGGACAGCGTCATCAGGTACTGGCGCCGTGGCCACCCCGCCTTGAGCGCGCTCTCCCACCCGCTCTGTGACGCTGTCACTGTCATCAATGCAGGTACCTGGAGAGCTGCAGTGAGGCGGCCACGCTCAAGAGGAAGTGTGAGTTCCCAGCGAACATCCCCACACCGAAGTCCAGCGACAGGCGGAAGGCCACGCTCAGCCCTGGGCTACGCTCTGGAGGTACCTGGCGTCTGAACCGCGTGCATATCATAGCCTAGCCCTGCAGAGAATCCAGAGTCACTTTAGACCCTAAAGGGTTCACTCCAGGGATGCTGTGGATACAGTGTGAGGTTACAGGTTATTTTTTAAATGTTTAAAGTAGGAGCCAGCAGGTGGTATAGTGGTTAAGGGGCTGGATTTCACATGACTGACTCTGTGGTTCAAGTCCTGGACCTGGCAATTTAAAAAAGACGCCAGGTGCGTGTGCATGCATGCCCAGAATCCTGAAAGGAGAATGGAGGAGAAGGGATTGTGGTGTGGTCACCCTTCCCAGGGGGCAATTTCTCACTTTCCTTCTCTTCCTGTCTTTCTCTCTCTCCAGTAAACACACACCCAGTGTCAAAAATCTTAAAACATCAAATTTAAAAATAAATACAATTTTCAAAGTGGTTCACAAGTCAGAATCGTCCTTACAAGCTAGTGGTAAAGGGGACCTAGGCTCTGAGAACATGAGCCTGAGCCCCACCCCACAGCCAGGTCCAGGCAGGCCTCCCCCTCTGCAGTGTCTCAGAGGAGGCTTACCTGTGAACGTGAGTGTGCTGCAAAGCGCATGTCGGGCCTGCTGCTTGACCGCTGAGACTCACTGACGGTCCCGACCGGGGTCACGAGTAGAGCATCCAATCCTGCATGAAGCACAGGCCGAACGGTCATGCAGGGCAGGAGACTTGCTGACACCACCTGGGTTTGGCCTCACAGGCCTGCAGAGGGGCCGCCTGGCTCTAGGCAGGACCCTTGCCAAAGTCGCCACAGCTAGAGCCACTGTGCCTTCTCCCGGAGAGCTCGAGACCAAAGCGTGTGATTGTTCCCGTTTCAGGCTTCCTCTCCACCTTTCTCCTGTGAACCCACATGAGCAGACCAGCCCACGTCCGGCCCGAGCACTTGCAGGATGGCTGTGGCAGCCCCGTGGGGAGACTTCAGCCACCTGGGGACTGGGAAGCCATTTAGACAGGCAGCTGTCCTTAACTGAACGCTTGCTCATTTTCATTGTGTTTTTGCATTTGCTTCCATTTTTTCTTATAAAGAGACAGCACCACCCTCCAAGGTGAACAGCCACGCGGAAGTTAGTGCTCGCCTGACCTCGCTGACGTTGCCCGGCAAGGCCGAGAGCGTGGTGTCCCTCACCAGCCAGTGCAGCTACAGCAGCACCATTGTCCACGTTGGGGACAAGAAGCCACAGCCCGAGTTAGGTATGTTGTGGGTTCTTGTGCCATCGAGAGCAGTCTGATTTTCGCACAGGAACAAGAGCAGCTTAGATGCCATCTTAATTCCTTCTCGAAGTGCGTCTAAGTGCAAAAGAGCCCGATCATAGCCTACGAAAGGTCATTTCGGGAAACCTGTGGCATCAGATGCGTGGCCAGGGTGGCCAGCCAGGGCCAGCAACGCCCCGGCTCGGTTGCTTCTGCTGCGCTCTGGTGCCACCAGGTGGCAGTCGTCTCCCGGGTGTAAATGTGGTGTGGCGGAGCACAAGTCCTCCTTGTGTAGTGTAGAGAGAACAGTGAGCACAGTGGCCCCACCTCCCCCCTGCCCTAGACGTGTTGGGGGACCATTCCACTGCCCTGCCTCAGCCTGCCAGCAGAGGGGGACCTTCACCCTCCCAGGTTGAGGGCAGAGCCAGCAAGGGCCGGCCATTCTAGAACGCCCTGATTAACCCAGTCCCCACTTCTTCAGTAGAAGAGGAGGACGAGAAAGGCACCGTCAGATTCAGCCCCCAAACCCTTCTGTTCAGGATGGTCCGTGGCCCCACCATCCCCTGTTCTGCCTGCTTTGTGGGTCCATGTGGCCACTGCTGTGACCCACATGGTCTGAACCCACAGGACACAGCACATGGCCCCCCTGTGCCATGTCGGCACAGAGTCAAAGCCCGAGATGCCCGTGTGAGTTTGCGTGGAAGAGCCCTGAGCCACCGGGCCTTGTCCCTGCCTTCTGCCTTTTACTGTGAACTCCCCCAGAAAGCAGGCCGGAGGCTCATGACCTCCTCCTACCTGGGCCCCCCACAGTGGTTTTGCGTGTGAGCGATTTCTCATGTGAGCGTGAGGGTCTCATGCACGGGGCACACGTGTGGATCAGGGCCTGGTCCTGTGTTGCAGAGATGGTGGAAGACGCTGCCAGTGGGACTGAGTCCCTGGACTGTCTGGCAGGCCCCTCCCTGCCCTGCGGCCACGGCCAGGAGAAGGAGCCCTTCCAGAAGCTGGGCCTCACCAAGGAGATCCTGGCCGCGCACACCCAGAAGGAGGAACAGAGCTTCCTGCACAAGTTCAGGGAGGCCAGGAGGCTCAGCCTCTGGCAGCCCCACTGCCATTACCTGCAAGAGAGGGCCAAGGGCCAGGGCGGCGAGCGAGGTAAGTAGCAAGGCCGAGCTAACGCTACCTGGTGGAAGCTTCGTGCTTGATGGAGCAGGGCCTGTGCTGGGTTAAAGCGTGCCCTGTCCTGCAGAGCTGAGGTGGCTGCGGGAGCTTTCTAGCAGCATAGTTTCCTAGAGAACTCTGTACCCAGACGTTCTCCAGGTGTAATCCTGCGCCCCAGGGGCCCGGGGCTGCAAATGGTGGTGATGGTCCCAGGACAGCTCCTGTGGGTTGCAGGGATGGGGCAGGTGCAGTCCAGTTATGTCAGACATGTCTTGTCTGGGAAACTGGGGAGGGGGACTACTCCACCTGCCCACCCAGATGGGACCTTTGGAGAGTAAGAGTGAGGTGTTGGCGGAGCTCTACTGTCAGGCCCTGGGGAAGGAGGGAGCGAACTAGGCCCTGCTCCCCAGGAGACGATGCCCTGGCCAGGATGGTCCAGGCTCTGCTGCAGCCCCGGATCTTCCAGGCCTGTGGTGCCGTGCAGGGCTGTTTTCCCAGCTGAGAGCTACTGGGGTGGAGGCCAAAAGTGAGGTAGAATAGCTGGTTTGCCCCCTTTCTGCTCCAGGGGCCTCGCTCCTGACCCATAGCCACTTCCCAAACTCCACAGAAGAGCAGAGATGGAACCTCTTTCCTGGATGCCTGGGTCGCTGGCCCCAGGATCAGAGCTAGTGAGCCCAGGAGGCACACGCCCTGGGTCTTCAGGAAAACGCTTAAGGGAATGTCTAGAAATTAAAGGAGCCTGCCACCTCCTTAGGCCTTTTCTACTCTTTTTCTCTCCATCCCCAGACTGGGGGTTACTGCTGGCCAGTAGGGCACCTCTGTGGGCCAGCTCCGGGGCGGGCTCTGGCCCCCACGCATCTTGGCCCAGGATTCTTGCAGTGCGCACCAAGCTGTGGCGTCCCGGGACCCAGTGCTTTTGCCGCCGCTCCCACCAAGGCACAGATTCCTGTGGGAAGAGCAGCAGGTGGCATTGCTGAGGCACAGAACCCACTGGCACGGGAGTTGCCTGGGGCTGGCCATCGCCGGCAGGTGTTAAGGGATAGAGGTGATGGTGCTTCTAAAGCTGGGAGCCGGAAGGTGAGGCGGAGCGGTGGCTCTGTGCTTCAAATCTCACAGACCGGTTTTGTTCCATACATTGGGCACAGCAGAGACTTTTTCTCTTCTTTTCTTTTTTGACAAACATAACCTTTCCAATTCCACTCACTGTGTTATCTCATAAAAGAGCCAACACGTCAGTACCAGAGGAGAGGAGGCCTATGGTCTTGGAATCAAGGGCGGTCCTTTGCATCGATTGAATTTAGTTTTATGAAAAACCTAACGTTTTGCCCTGATTTTCCTCTGAGCCAAGGCTTCAGGGAGGCCCTGTGGTGGGCCAGCCGGGTCTGGGCTGGTGTTTGAGAGCGCAGGACTGTGGGCCTGAGAGGGGCCGTCAAGATGCTGAAATCCCACAACTGGCAGCCAACACAGTGGGGGCCACCTGCATTTATAGTATTAATTCTGGCTATTTCCCCACATTTTAGCGGCTCCTGGACTAAGAAATACTTCCGGAATAGATTCCTCTTGGAAAAAGTCTGGGAAGAACAGAAAACTGAAGTCCAAACGGGCCAAGCCACGAGACTCCTCAGAAAGCACTGGGTCTGGGGGGCCAGTTCCCCACCGGCCCCCACTCGTAGGACTGAACGCGACGGCCTGGTCGCCCTCGGACACGTCCCAGTCCAGCTGCCCTGCTGTGGCCTTTCCCACCTCCATGCCAGCTTACTCCCTGCCCATGTTCCCAGCACCAGGAATTGTGCCGGGGCCAGGGGCAGTGGTGGCGCCACCTGTGGCTCCCCATGCCAGCTTCACAGTGCCCACCGTGTCTGTGGACGCCCAGCAGCAGTTTGTGGTCCAGCCCCCGCCACTCGCCGCCCCCTTGGCCCCAGTGGTGGCGTTCATGTTACCCAGCTGTCCCTTCCCTCCAGAGACCCCAAGCCTGAGCCAGGCCTTCTTCCCCGGCCAGCCCCACTTCCCGGGCCACCCCACGCTCACACCTGGGACAGCCCCTGCCTCGCAGCCCGAGTCCCCAAGTCGGACTTCGCTCCTCAGACAATCGTGCGCTTGCCCGGCCACCCCGGCCACCCCACCACTGGCCGCGGGAGCCGTGGGCAGGGCCTCCCCGCCCCTCTTCCAGTCCCGTGGCAGCTCACCCCTGCAGCTCAACCTGCTGCAGCTGGAGGAAGTTCCCGAGGCTGGCCCTGGTGTCACGGGAACTTCCGGGACTTCAGGGACAGCGGCTACCCAGCCTGACCGCAAACCTGGCACTTCCCAGGAGCAGCAGCCAAAGGCACCCTCCACAGTAAGCGTCCCTGAGTGCTCTCTGAGGCCCCAGGCACAGCTGCAGGGCAGGCGGCTGGGTGGGCCCTGCAGCAGGGTTTCTGCCAAGCCGGGGACCCTGATGTACATACGTGTGCTAGAAAGTCACGTTTCCCAGTCAGTCCTCAGAGTAGGTTCCTCAGCTCTGGGCACGGGACGAGGGCCTGGGTCGAGTGCCGAGGCCAGAGAGCAGCCTGTGGCTTGCGCAAGTCTTTACGGGCTCAGATTTTTAAGTGAATCTCAAAGATAAAGTGCCATTGGGTAAATGCAGAATGGGGTTCCTCGGAGGGCAGGGGCAGAGCTGCTGGCAGGTGCCCGTGTGGAGGGAGAGGGGAGCGCCCGCTCCCACAGGCCTGAAGACTTTTCCAGCGTCCGGTCCCCACAGAGGCCAGCAGCACCCCTACTCGGTTAATGCAACCGCAGCTTTTTTTCTATAGAGTGATGCGCCCATTGAGAGAGAGAGAGACGGACAGTGAGAAATCACTCCTAGGGTGATGGCCACGCCACAGTCCTTTCTGCTCCATCCCTTCTTGGAACTTTGGGTACTCGAGCCCAGCGTGATTTTCAAGTTGCTGGGTCTGGGGCTCCAAACCGTGCATCAGCCGAGTGGGATCCAGCACCTTAACTTCTATGCCACCTGTTGCCCAAGATGGTGGCTTCGTTTCCATTTAAGCACTGAAGTTTCCACACACGCTCAGGTGGAGCACAGCTCCAGCAGAGTTCTGTCCACAGGCACCCAGGGGGTACCTTAGGGGACCCCTACTTTTGCCTGGGGCTGGGGCCCTTATGCCAGAAGGTGGAACCTTGTAAGTCTGTGAGGGCCTGGAGGAAAGTTGTGGGGAAATGGAATTAAAGGACAAGTTCATTTGGGTGCAAAAAATAATTGGAACCCATGTAGTTCTTCCATGACGCTCACTTCTGCAGACCCTTTAAAGACACTGCATGTGGGGAACCAGCAGTTAGCGTAATGGCTATGTCTCTGGACTCCCACATAGTCAACCGCGGTTCGCGTCCTGGACCCGGTGGCTTAAACTCACGCCGGGCATGTGTACGAGCGTGCCCAAGATCCTGAGAGGAGAATGGAGGAGAAGGGATTGCGGCGTGACCATCCCCTCTGGGGGGTGATTTCTCGCTTTCTGTCTCTATGTCTCTCTGGCAGGCGTACGCGCCCTGTAGTGAAAACCTCTCCAAAAAAAAAAAAAAAAAAGGACCTGCATGTGTTGGTTCTCTCAGTCTGTCTCCCACCCTGCCGACTCCTGTTTCCGGAGTCCTGGGCCTACAGCCAGGTTTCCAAAGACCCCTGAGGCTCGAGGATGCTCCCAGGCCAAGACTGTCACTCATTCCCTCACTGCCCTGGCTCAGGGGTTCAGTGCCCTACCTGCTGTGAGGAGAAGGCTTTGGGGTGCTGCAGAAGGCACTTCCTGACCCCACGTCCACTGTACACGTGGAAGGGCTATGGCTGGGACCCCACACAGTTCTAGAATATCTGACGGTGTTCTAGGGCACGCGGACACCGCTGCAGCCCCGGTAACCAGGGTGGCATCTGCCCGTTTGCCCTTTACCCTTGGCACAGGAGAGAAAGGCTCGTGTCCCACTGAGAACCCTGCGTGGGCAAGTGGGCAAGGTGCCCGGCGGCTCCCTCCTGTCCACCTCCCCGCCCTCGCCCCAGCCTCCCTCGCTGTACGTGCTATGTCGTGACGGAGCCCTGGTGAACAGCAGTGTCTTCTCCCTGTCTCTACAGCACGAGGAGCCCTCGGACACCCAGAACAGTGACGCGCTGTCCACGTCCAGCGACCTGCTCAACCTCTTGCTGAACGAGGACCTCTGCTCGGCCACAGGGTCGGCCCTGTCTGGGAGCGGAGCCTCTGCCACCTCGGACTCCCTGGGCTCTGGCTCTCTGGGCTGCGGTGTGGCTGGGAGTGGGGCAGGTACGCTGGCCTGGGGCGGGAGTGAGTGGGGCTTGGGTATCAGGTGCATGTGGCAGATGCCCACCTGGGGACCAGCCAGACTGCAGGTCAACTCTGTGCTCAGGGCAGGCCACACTGGGCTCCTGACCGGCCCCTAGAGCCCGCACAGCCACACATGGACACGGAGTTCGTCCTGGCTGCCACTCCCAGCTCAGCGTGGCAGCCTCAGCATGCGTAGTCAGAACCGCGCACCTGCCCGTCTGCTTCCCGTTTCCGTGTCACCGCAGGCCTCACACCCACCAGCCCCTGGTCAGCCTGTCCTAGGGCTCCCTGGGTGGTAGCTTCCCTTCTCTTTAGCCCCCGGGGCGAGCAGAGGTGCAGGCCACCTGTGAGCCTTCGCCCCCAGATCCTTCAGGTCTGATCTGGGCCCACTAGCCAGAAAGGCACATACAGCTGCAAACTCGGGCTCCCGTGCTCTGGAGCCAGCTTCCTCGCCCTCCCTCTGCAGGCCTCTGCCCAGGCCACACTGTGAGCCAGATGACCATGCTTCTTTGAGCTCTGCCCTGAGCCCAGAGCACCTGAACTCGGAGAGAAGATCAGGGTTCCCCAGGCAGGGCCCCACCTGAGCTCCCTGGGGCCTCCCCAGGAAAGGGCCACCTCCATGTTACTGGCGACCGCCCACATCTCGGAGAGCAGGAAGGCGGAGGAGGAGCGCCGACGGCCAGTCGGTCCTGGGGAAGCTCGGCCTCCCGAGCTGTCCTCCACACCGACACTTGCGAGAGCGTCAGTCTGCAAGGCCTCCGGGCTCTGACCTGCCCGTCCTGTGTTCTTAAAGGTAGCAGCGACACGAGTCACACCAGCAAGTACTTCGGCAGCATCGACTCTTCGGAGAGCAGTCACAGAGCAAAAGCGGCCGCGGCCACGGGGGAAGGCGAGCACTTCCTCAAGCACGTGCTGCAGGGCCCCATCTGGCTGCTGATGGCCGACACGGACGGCAGCGTCATGATGACATACCAGCTGCCTCCCCGGTAACTACCCACCTCACCTGGGCAGGGCTGGGGTCCAGGTCAGCCAGGCAGGCCGCCGCCCCCTGAGCCCCTCAGCTCCCTCAGCAGGTGGACTGCGGCACATCCCCTGTGTGACACAGCTGGGGTGGCAGTGCCATGCAGAGGGCTCCTGGGCTGGAACCCCGCACTGACACCCTGAAGGCCGACAGGGCTCCCCGCTCGCTGCAGAGCACGCCCAGCTTCCTCGCGCCTGGCTGGCATCAGCCTTGGCTCTGCGGCCCAGTCACCTGTGGGGCGGATGGGGTATGTCCACCTGCCTGAGAGTTGGGGAAACCAAGTAGGGACAGGTGACCAGTACCACTAGGGCCACTTTGTGGCAACCCTGGGTCTGGGCCCAGGCCCACAGTCTGTGTCGGACGCTCTGGAACTAGAGGTGGCCCTTGCCCTGGCAGAGCACCCCTGCGGCAGGGAAGCTGGGGGAGGAGAGTCGGTATCCAGGGCACAGACAGTCTGGCCTTGGGCAGGTTGGGGGACTGGGCTCCACCCGAGGCGGCCATAGTCCAGTCCAGTGCCGGCAGTGGCGTAAGGGGTACCCTCCCTACCACCTGGGCAGTCACCACACCTGTGCAGAGCTGTACCCACGGGACGAGGCCGCAGTGCAGATGCCTGCTCCCACAGCTAGCTTCAAGTAGAACTAAAACCTTGACCCTGACCATCACTTTAATAGGAAGAGTGGGACCAGCAGTTAGCGTAGCGGCTATGTCGCTGGACTCCTGCGTAGTCAACTACGGGTGCCTTAAACTCGCCAGGCGCATATGCGTGCGTGCCCAAGATCCCAAGAGGAGAATGGAGAAGGGATTGCAGCATGGCCATCCCCCCTGGGGGATGATTTCTCGCTTTCTGTCTCTATGTCTCTCTCTGTCTGGCAAACGCACACGCCCTGTAGCAAAAACCTCTCCAAAAAAATAAATAAATAAAATAGGAAGAGTGTAGATTATGTAGCAGGCAGCTGAAGTTACCTTAAACAGGGCAGTTTAAGTGAAAGGGAAGCTCGCATTAAACAAAGCACCTGAAAGTATGTCACAAGTTGAACTGCCCTCATCCACAAATCTGAAATCTAAAAACGCTCCACACCCAGACGTTCTGTATGCCAGCGCGACCCACGTGCAGACTTTGCATGACTGGTGGCAGCCCAAACCCTCCAGTGCAGAAATGCTTTCTAACATGGCCTGCAGGCTGCGTCTACGGCATGCTGTGAGACGTGAAGGAACCGCGTGCTTAGACTTAAGTCCCATCTCCAAGATCATTATGTCTATGTCCATATCCCCAAATCCAAAAACATCTGAAATCCAACACACTCTGACCCCAAGTATTTTGGATAAGGGATACTCAACCTGTACTAATACCGAAAGAGTTGGTAAAATAATGAAAATGTCTAAATAACCGGAAGCCCTTAAGACCATCTGATGCTTGTCTGTTCTGACCATTCATGAAGAAATGTAGATACGGTTTTGAAGGAGGACAGGGAGAAGCTAACGCTCCTGCGGAAAGCCCAGCCCCGGTTCACGGAGTCGCAGAAGCGGGAGCTACGTGAGGTCCACCCGTGGGTGCAGACGGGCGGCCTGCCCACGGCTATTGAGGTGACGGTAAGCCTACAGGACTTGCTTTCTGATTCCACGCTAAGGTGCACTGTGGTGGGAGCCTGCGCTGCTCCATGGCTTTTCTGTCAACTTCAAGTCCCTCACGTTGGGCTGGCCTAGAGCGCAGGGGTAAGCTCTGTGTACAGGGAGCCAGGTCCCTCTTGGCCTACCACGGTTCGAGTCCCAGCCCCTGCAGCTCAAGAAACACCACCAGGCACATGTGCCCAAGATCCTGACTGGTGAGAGGAAAGGAAGAGAAGGGACGGTGTGTGACCACACCTCTTCGGGGTTCTTCTCCCTCTCTCTCAAAAAAAACCTCCAAAGTTAAAAGTTTAGTTTATGAAGGGCCAGGAGGTAACATGAAGATTAAGGCACAAGATCCCACATGGCCAACTCCACTGTTCAAGTCTCGGACCCAGCAACTCATAAAACACATCAGGCGCATATGCGTGCCCAAAATCCCAAGAAGAATGGAGGAGAAGGGATTGCAGCGTGGCCATTCCCCCGCCCCACCGGGGGGAATGGTTTCTCACTTTTCCTTTCTCTGTGTCTTTGTCTGTCTTTGACATGTGCCCTATGACAAAAATCTAGAACAAAACAAAATAGTGTATTTAAAAAGGAGCTCTGGGACCAGCAGTTAGCATAATGGCTATGTTGCTGGACTCCCAGTTAGTTGCCCAGGGTTCGAGTCCTGGACCCGGTGGCTTAAACTCAGGCCGGGCACCTGTGCATGCCTGCCCAAGATCCCGAGAGGAGAATGGAGGAGAAGGGATTATGGCGTGGCCATCCCCCTGGGGTGATTTCTCACTTTCTGTCTCTCTGTCTCTTTCTGGTGAGTGCACGCGCCCTATAGCAAAAACCTCTCCAAAAAAAGGAGCTGTGATACTATTAAGTCTGCCTCAAAGAACTTTCGTCTAATGACTTTCAGCATTGTTTCCAAAAAGGTTAAATATAATCTCAACTACTTGCTGAAATTTGAATTATTTTCCTTTTTTCCAATTGTGTTTTCTATTTAAAACCCAAACAACACTTCTCATGTCATGAAACCTCAACGTCCATCAGGCCACGAGGACAGTGGGAATGC